GAATGTGCAAGCTGTAATGAGCTGGCAGAGTTGTTGCATTGCTTTCCCCACTTCTCAGCATAGACATATGAGACATATGCTCCCCATCATATGATAAGATGAATGCTTTGTTACTACAGAGCCTTTCCCCATCAACACTACCTACATCCAGCTGCACATCTTCTTACCCTCAGGTGGATATCTTTCTGCAATTGTGCATAGGAAGCAAAATTGCTTTGAAATGAGAGGGGAGGGAAAGAGAGAGGGCAAAACACATAAAACATTTTTCATTTATCTTAAAATTTTCTTGTTAATAGTACACTTATTAAGAATGTGTAAAGCTTCAACCCATCCCTACCAATAAAATCTGATATCTGTGGCACATACCTTTGGGATACTGGGTTTGGTTGCTGCAATTTACACTGCAATGTGATACCTAAGAGGCTTATATGTTGCCTGCAGCTAATGCAGCAATGTGCATTTTGTCACTATTAGGCAGAACAAACTTGTTCTACCCGCTGCTTTTCTTCTCCGTTGACTGTCTGAGTACAACTCGCATTTAAGATATTTGTATCACACCAGAAGCCATTGAACAGTCAGTCTTTGTGATTTCATTGTTCTTTTATTACACTAGAGATTACACATTTCTGAAGTTTTGACAATACACAAAGGATAAAAAATCATCATATACCTGTAGCTAGGTATGTGCATCACTGTACTGTGGTATTCTTGGACCCTGCAAGCTCAGCACAGTCCAGTTGGATGGAATATTGCCCAGGAACTCTGCTCTGCTTTGGCTTTTAATCATTCAAAAAGGACGTTTCCCTGCAAATCTTGTTCTACCCTTCTTATGCTGAGTGAAATAAGCCCACTCTGGAATAAATGAGGATGAAAGTTCTGTATGAATAAGGGTAATTAAAAGGGATTTGTTGTTAGAACTGAAGCCACTGAATACCTTATGTTTCTGGAAACTGCCTGGGCATATGTGTTTTCAGGTGACATGCAAACTGAAACTGATTCACAATCACTTGTCCTTAAAGATTCCTGCATCTGTTGCAAAAGAAAGTGGTTTTAACTTAACATTGTCTAGCTAGAATTCCAACTGGCAGTTTTTACATTGCTCCTGCCTTAACTTCCCTGACTTTTCTACCAAGATGTTCATCAGCTGCTTTCTTTACTTGTCTAGTAACACAGCTGCTTTCATCCCTGAGCTAGTGGAATTTCAGTAGTAGATAAAGAGAATCGAGAAATACCACCTTTGTGGGAAATCTACCCTGGCCTCCAATTGCTGTCTGAGGAGAATGTGAGACTCCCATTATCTGCATCTGCTATCTGCATATAAACGTTTTGGATATATCACATCATCACAATGGCACTAGGAATCAGTTTTCATGCAATGTAACCCATCCCAGCTGTGTCTAGGTGGGTTAGTCGTGAAGCATTTTAAGGTGCCGCTGAAGTTAAATGATCTATGAAGTTAAATGATTGTATGCTGTTCTTCAAATCCTGACTCTGTAGCTGGGCAGCTGTTCCAACACCATTTTCTACGTTAATGTCAACTTTGAAAAGTGTTGCTCTGATCTACAGACTCATCTGGAGTGGTCAAGCACAGCAGGACAGAGTTGCTTGTCCTCAGAGGTGGAGCAGGTTGCTCAAACAGTAAACAATATGGTGTGTTAGGGGAAAACCACAAGGACCCTTAGTTTTTGATTTGGACAAGCAATAGAAGTGGGCAAAAGTGGTTTTTCCAACTTAGAGGTCGATAAGCTCTGTTTATGTAGATAATGTGCTGTTAGAGCAGCACTTAGGGGAGGGCAGAATACATCCTTATATTCCTCTGAAAGATAATAGTTCATTGTATGCCTGAACACCTAACAACTGCAGACATAAAATCAACTCTGAGTTAACCTTTGTAGGGTTATACCAACGCAGCCAGTACTCCATGTTTTTCTTTACAGCTTACAGCATACGGACACCTTTTGGCTGGTTATCATCTGTGTGAGGTTTGTGAAGGGGGGAAGCAGAATTCCCACCCCCCTTACCAAAGGGCATATAGCACCTCTGGCTTTACTGGTCTGGCTGTCCTGGGGAAGAGGAAATAGACACAAACCTTGCCTTTACGCTTTGGGACTTGGATGATTATTCATAGATTTCAAAATGAGGAAGATGGCGCCTGAAATTTTATCAGGTGTCCTGGGATAATATCCACCATTTATGTGTGTGTGTGTGTGTGTGTGTGTGTGCGTGTGTGTGTTCGTTTTTGTGAAGGATTACAGTATTTCCTCACTGTGAGGTTGTCATCAATCATCTTCCTTTAAACAAAACTTAGAAACCATGCATTTTGTGATCCATTCCGCACAGGGCTATGACATAATCTTGGAATTTAATATAACTTAATCTTGTATGCAGTTTCGGGGAGAATTTTATCACTTTTTTTTTCTCTAGAAGAATGTGCTCATGGTTGCCAACATTACTATTGTGACTGATTCTCTCCAGCTTTGATTGGATTTGTATGGCCAGATTTTCTTATCACTACTATTAAACATTTGATCTAATGCTAGATAATTCTTCAACTGAACATGAAATATATTTATTTATCCAGAAGCTTTACATTCATAGAAAAGAATGACAATTTGTTAATTATTCTTACTATTTTAATGCTCCTTACATGTTCAGACATTAAATAATTTTTCTTTTTTTTTTGCTTAAATCTGTACAGTTAACTAAAATATAATAAGAGAAATCACTGTAGGAACACCTGGAGCATCAGAACAGAGTTGTGCCATAGTTGTAATGGAAAGCAACTAAATCAAGACTTACAAAGCAGCTGAAAGAAATGAGAGGTTTTGTAGAAAGCCCTCAGCAGCACCATGGGCTGCAACTCCAACTTTTCAGGAAATCAGAAGTTGAGAAAAGGAGGAGAAAACCAGAGACCCCTCTCCACAGTTAACTACCAGGTAACATTAGGAGACTATTAGGGAGGATCCCTGGGGTCTCAGTCTTGGAGGGTAAAAGGGTCTAGAAAGGCTGGACACTCCTCAAGAAGGAAGTCTTAACGGCACAGGAGCAGGATATCCCCCTGAGCAGCAAGATGAACGGTTGGGGAGGAATGGGGAGCTCTTCCTGAAGCTCTAGGAGAAAAAGAGGATCTACCTCCTGTAGAGCAAGGGACAGGCAACATGGGGAAAGTACAAAGAAGTTGTTAGGATGTGCAGGGAGAAAATCAGAAAGGCAAAAGTCCAGCTTGAACTCAGCTTGGCCACTGAAGTAAAAGAGAACAAGAAACTTTTACAAATATATTAACAGAAAGAGGAAGGCCAAAGAGAATCTCCATTCTTTACTACTCCACCTGGACTGTCACAAGTCCTTGGAGCCAGATTAAATCCATCTGAGGGAACTGGAGGTGATAGCCAAGCTGCTTTCCATCGTCTATCAGTGTTCTTGATCAACTGGAAAGGTCCAGAAGACTGGACACTTGGCATTGTAACTGCCATCTACAAGAAGGATCATAAGGAGGATCTGGGGAACTACAGGCCTGTCAGCCTGATCTCGGTGCCAGGTAAGGTTGTGGAGCGGACTGTCCTGAGGGAGATCACATGGCATGTGTGGGACAGATGGGGGCTTAGGCCTAGCCAGCACAGGTTCATGAAGGGCAGGTCCTGCTCGACCAACCTGATCTCCTTCTGTGATGCAGTGACCTGGCTGGTGGAGGAGGGAAAGGCTGTTGATGTGGTCTACCTAGACTTCAGCAAAGCCTTTGACACTGTCTCCCACAGCATTCTCCTGGAGAATCTGTGAGCCCATGGCTTGGACAGGTACACTCTGCTGGGTAAGGAACTGGCTGGAAAGCCAGGCCCAGAGAGTGGTGGTGAATGGAGTTAAATGCAGCTGGTGACCGGTCACGAGTGGTGTTCCCCAGTACGGGGGGAACAGTCAGTGTTGAGGTCTGTCCTGTTCAACATCTTTACCGATGACCTGGATGAGGGCATTCAGAGCCCTCAGTAAGTCCGCAGATGACACCAAGTTGGCAGGAAGTGTCCATCAGCCTGAGGGTAGGAAGACCCTACACAGGGATCTGAACAGGCTGGATTTATGGGCTGAGGCCAACAGGATTGAGGTTCAAGAAAACCAAGTGTTGGGACCTGTACTTTGGCCACAGCAACCCCAAGTGACACTACAGGTCTGGGGCAGAGTGGCTGGAAGACAGTGTAGGGGAAATGGACCTGGGGGTATCAATCAGTGCATGGCTGAACGTGAGACAGCAGTGTGCCCATGTGTCATGCTGTTTCATATTAGGAATACAATCTGTTACTACCAGGAGCAGGGAAGTAATTGCACCTTTGTACTTAGCAATGGTGAGGCCATACCTCAAGTATTGTATTTAGTTTTGGGCCCCTCACAACAAGAACAACATTGAAGCCCTGGAGCATGTCCACAGAAGGGCAACAAAGCTGGTGAGGGGTCTTAAGGGAGCGGCTGAGAGAGCTGGGATTGTTTAGTCTGGAGGAGAGAACGCTCAGGGAAGACCTTGTCACGCTCTATAACTATTTGAAGGGGGATCAGCTAATGGTGGTGTCTGTGTTGGAAAACAGTGTTTGGTACTGACAATTTGCTCTCAGATAGTGCTATTGTCCTCTTTGTATCTGTTGCAGTGTCTATGGAAGCAAATAGGAGGCATTACATTCAGAGCAGCCTGTGTATATCTCGGTCTCTTGTATTTTTATTTCCTATACAAAAACATCTTTCCTCTCTTCTTCAAAACTCAGTCCGTGCCCCATTAGTCACGGAACCGGTCCAAACCAGCCTGTAAACCGTTGACATTTGGTCACCATGGCACCGTGATGGAGAAGAATGGCATCACCATGGCCTCCTGATGTCACAGGTCGCCTCACAGCTCAGTGTTCCAAGCCCTTGGAAACGGGCAACCCTGGGCCCAGAACCCCAGTTGCTGAGCGAGAGGCGCCAGTGGCTGCAGTGAGCTCGTGAGCCAAGTGGTTGTTTTTGTTTTCCGAGGAGGCAGAATGGATTCTGTTCCTCCTAAGAAGAGGCGGCTAATGGAGAGGCTCCCCACCATCGAGCCCATGGAGGTGGACCCTCCCGAGAGCGATGAGGAGCCCATGGAGGTGGATCCGCCTCCATCAGGGCAGAGTCACCATCAGCCCATCGCTCTTGGGAAGTGGCAGAGGAGAGCCAGACCCAGAGCCCACCCCTACTACTGGAGTGGCCTGAGGTCCGGTCCACCTCCTGGCAGGTAGCCGCCTCGATGCCAACCCTGATCCTCCCATCCTGTAAGTTTATCATTATCTGATACAGCCCCAGCTGTCAGACCTCTCTGCAGGCTCACATGAGACATTCATCTCCTGTGAATTCTTCTTTTGACAGCCAAGGTTCCTGTGAACCCACCCTTCCCGTCCCCACCTCCCGTCCCTTCCCAAGTCCTCTCATCTCTTCTTTACCGAGAGGAAGAAGGAAGGCCAGGGACTGGCAGCCTCTGAGACACTGCTGCGGGGCAACAGGAGGAGTCCAGTGGAGGGACCTGAGCTGCCCGGGGACGTGAGGAGGTGTCAGAGGTGTCACCGAGGGTCTCTGTTCCTGTGGAGAAGCAGAAGACTTTGGTTGTGACAGGAGGAAGGCTGCCGTTCAGCATGAAGGACTTGTTCAAGCTTGGACAGCAGAAGATTTTAAAAAATAGAAAATTTAATATAAACAATTAAAAACAAACTGAAAAACAAGCAGAAAAAAACAACCACACCTAAAGCCTCAAAAATAATGAAAACAATAAATTTTCTTCTGGTTTTTTTGAACTTGAGAGTCTGTGAGTGGATTCTTGCCTCCTCTGCTAGTCTTCCCAGTACAGGAAAGACATTGCCATGTGGGCTGGGGCCCAGGGCCAAAGAGGGGGGAAGGGGCCAAGGCACACAGCCTCTCTGAGCAGCCTGTTCCAGCATCTCACCACTCTCTTGCTAAAGATCTTCCCCCTGATATCTAACCTAAATCTTTCTTCCGTCAACTTGAAACCACTTCCCCTTGTCCTGCTGTTATCTACCCTTGTAAGGAGTTGACTCCCCTCCTGTTCGTAGGCTCCCTTTCGGTACTGGAAGGCTGCAATGAGGTCACCCCACAGCCTTCTCTTCTCTGGCCTGAACAAGCCCAGCTTCCTCAGCCTCTCCAGTTTGGGTAGAGCTCCGGGGCAACCTCATCGTGTGAAAGATGTCCCTGCATGTGGCAGGAGGGGATTAGATAATTTTAGAAGCAGACAACAAAAACTATTCTGGGTGGTGCAAGGAATCTAACCCACAGAACCAACAAGCAGTCCTCTTGAGATTGGGTCTTCTTGGTGTCCTTACAAAAAGCAACAGGAGGCAAAGGGTGAAAAGACGATGAGGTACTACTATGAAGTAGCTGAGAGGAGACATCTGCGTGCGTTTGTCCAGTGGACAGCTTAATAGTCTGTGTTACCTTTTCCATCTATACAGTGCATGAAAGCAAAACATTGGAAGCATCCTGGAAAAGGAAGTATCTTGGGTCTCCCTGACACCATGGTAGCACAGGCACGACAACCCCTCAGCAGAAACACCAACACAACTAGCTTAGTTGTTATTCCACAACAGTCTGCTCAATTTCTTGCCAGACTGTTTGCACTTTAGTCACTGCACAGGAAACAGAAACACCCCCGTTTGCTCTTTACTTGATTTTAGCAATGCTTTTATGCTGCTACAGGTATATAGAAGTCAAGTGATAGGGGACAGCCACATATGTGGCTGTGCTCCTTTCCCCTAAGGATGAGCCCCGTAGGACTGAGAGAACAGATGGATATTAGGAAAAGGTTCCTTCAGGATTCAGGAAGCTTTTGGACATCAGTCTCCAGAATGTGGTTTGAATGTTGGTTGGCCCAGTGTGGAACCAGACACTTCCCCACAGCCATCTCTGGGAGTAACTGGCTGCTCCCCGCTTGGACAGGTGTACAGGTCACTGGCTGTAGAAGCAGGTGGGTGCCTGGGCTGAAGTGTCACAGTGAATGGAGGACTGCTGATATGACTGAGGTTAGGAAGAGTCTGCATAGAGCTATGAACAGGCTGCATCAATGGGCTGTGTCCAATCACATTAATAAGACTAAATTTGACCCGTTTACATTGATGAACAAAGCAGTGGGTGTGAGTACAGTGAGACAGAGGGTGGTGGATTTCAGCACTGACGACAGTGACACAGAAGACAAGCCATGTTCTGGGTGGCCATGCAGATTTTTATAAGCATGGCATGTAGGCACTTGTTTGTTGTTGGTAAAAATGCATGGCTAATGGTGGTGACTATGTTGAAAAATAGTGTTTTGTAGCCGAGAATTATCTCTATTAGATAATATTATTGTGTTTTTTGCATCAGTTCTGTTTTCATAGAAATAAATAGAAGACATTATTTTCAGAGCAACTTACATATATGCAGCCCACCTATTCATTCATTGTGGCCCAGGCAGGCCATAAGTTTGGAAACCATGTCATTGCCTGTTACTTGTTGCTTTTGCTAAAAATACCAGCCTCAATAGCAGGGAAATTTTGTTCTTTCTTTCTACATAGAATTGAAATTGTACAGAATAGATTTATATTTAAATGGCTTACTGTGAAAGTAAGAAAGAGAGATCAATTTTCAGAGTAATTTCAAGTTAAGCCATAGGATAAAACACCTAGACATCTACTATTCAAAATGGTATATTAAGCAACAAAATAGGCCATTGTATAGCTAATTTATTTTTCTTCTAACAGGGTTGGAAGATCATGGCATGCCTGTCAGTTCATGGATGACTGTCAGTTCGATTTACTAACAGAAAAGCTAGGGGTAGTTGATGGAGGACTAAATTACCTCATTTTTCTAGCAATATCGGAAGGTAAAGGAATTTTTGCACCAATACAACATTAAACAAGACTTTGTTGAAGATCCAGAATTTTTCTCTTTCTAGGAAGTACTTATTGGTGAAATTAGAAAGAAAGAGACTAGAGACATGACTTTTAGCACATGGATGACCTTTATGTCTGTAGATCTTTGATTTCTGATGAAGTTAAACTTCTAACCCATGTTTGGAGGGAAACTGGAACATATGGGATGTAAGCTGACAGTCCACAGTGATGTGTGATTGAATTGTCACTAACAGACTGCAAAAAGTGACTGACTGATCTCTCTGCCTCTCTGCTTGTCCCCAGAATTTCTTACTCTTCTTCACAGTCTTCTTCACAGTCTTCACAGGGATTATATTGCGTCCTAAATCACAATGGATGATTTTGTAATATGATGTCCAGAAACATTTTTTATTCTGTATGAAAAAGAGAGAAGACAGTAACTGCTTCTTTCAAGAATGAAAAACCTGTTAGTAAGCCATTAGTGATGAGTTTTAATGGCAGTATGTACAACTGGAGCTCTGTGGTGTGATCTGGTTACTTATTGGTTTATGGTTTTAATTTAAAGTAGTGCTTTTGAATGTTAAAGCTGTTAAGGGACTTTTCTACTAGAGTAATTGATAGTTTTATTGGATTATCAAGAATTCCAGTGAGATTCTAGGTTTACTGTTTTTATAGATGTAGATATATAGTCCACCCATAATGAGCATGTGGTCTCCATTGATTTACTGTTGCTGAGGAAAGCAGACCAGAAGAATATATCCATAATTTCCACTACTTGCCTTGCCCCATCAGTAATTTCACTGATTCCAAGGCAATGTGAGTAAGAGTTTCAATTTTCGACTCTTAAGAATGAATCTGATTGAATCTGAATTCATTTTCTTAGGATGGAACTCTGGCCAAAGCTAGTCAGTAATTATTCATTTCTCATTTCTTTTGTAATCTGTATTTAGTGCTTTAAATATAGATTTTCTGCATACAATTTTGATTCCACTGAATTCAATGGGAATTTTACCACTGGCTTCAAGTTCTGTTTTAAATTCTGTATTATTCATCTATTATTTTTTCTCAGATGTGCATTTTTACATAATGTAACTATTATTTTCTACTGTCATTATTTCCTTTTTATAAACAAGACAAAGGGTAAAGCTGACTTTTGGCTGGCTGACACAATATTCAAGTTTTTCTTCATTCAGACCTGTAAGTTTAGCAGTTTGTGTCTACAGCTGGTTGAACATCTGTCCATCAAAAAATGTGCACCTTTACTCACTAGCCTAATAAATGATGTTTGAAACAGGTGAGCTTGGGTGAAAGCAAGTATGCAGGCTCTTTGGTTTAAGTCAATAATCAACAGTATTTTGCCTGTATTTGAGCTTTTGCTTTTATCAGTTATGAGGCTCAAAGATTTTCTTTCAGGATGGTACTACCTCTGATCACTGTAAAAAGAAAAGTAACAAATATTTGATATAAATTAAGTCTCAAAAATTAGAAAAAGAAGAAAAAGAACCCTTAACTTTTATTTTTTTAATAATTCTTCAGGGTAAGGGGAAATCTGTTCCCTTGGCTTGTATTTACACTAGTGATAAAGAGACCTGATTTTCTTCTCATAAGCTTTAGTAGGAATAAAACAGAAATACAAGTTTCCTTTACTAGGCTTCAGTAGAGAGTGGAACTGTAAAAAAGGGAGGGATAGTGTATGTCAGTATGGAGAAGTGGGTTTTACAGAATCAAATTCGGAGAAATGAAAAAGCAGTGCAGTGAACGCAATTTAGTGACCTCTTCAGAGTAGGTGTGTATACAGGATTTCCTTGTGTGGACGTGTATGTAAATCATTTGGAAGGAAAGAAAACACTCCTTTAGATCAGACCGTTAGCTTAGGATTTTTCTTATCAGTCAGGAGCACGGTTTAGTGAAACGTCAACATGCACATTTTTTTTGGCAAGCTTTCGCATTTTGAAATCCGATGTGAACTACTTTGAAGTTACTATAAAACATAATAGAAGTTTGCTAAACGTGAAGGAAGCCATACCTACGAGCTGGTAACAGTATTTATTCAATGGGAAGATGTGCTGGTGATGATATATTTCTCTCATCCAAAGGTTTGAGAGGCCATGTGCTGTACAATGTGATCTTTCTACATAAACCACTTTGCTGCAAGGAGATGGCTTCTTATGTTTTAGGGGTTAAGTTAGTTTAGTCTTAATGAACTACTGTCTCTTATTAACGTATGAAAAGATTTAGGGTAAAAATACCCTTTCAGCAATACAAACATACTGATGAACAGTGTGTATATCCAAGTGATATGGAACACTGGAATGTATTGTGAAGGTTTCACAGCTAAGAGCTCTTTCCCAACAAATTCTCCTCACCTTTTGTCCCATGACACTTCAGTTTTTGCTATCTCCTATATGACAATATATATATATACATATTCTGTATTGCAGAAAAATTCTAAAATTCTCAAGAAAATTCAAAATACGTTACTTAATCTCTCCAAAACCATAATGATTCCTGGAGTATCACTGTGCAATGTGCAGACAGAATCACAAAGATGGGGAACAGTGACCAAAATAGCTTTTCTATGGCCTAAAAATACTGTAGCCCTTCAGGACTAGAAGTACACCTGTGCCCTGTTGTGAAGCTGGCTGTCTCCTCTTCCCGATCCTGCTGGGCTGTGCTATAACAAAACTTCAGGTTGCAAAATTATGAAGCTGCCGTTTGTGCATGACTGAATCATTCTGCAAAGAAACATCAGGCAGAATAGTTTGAGGAGAAATCAAATTGGAAATTAGGTGAGTTTTGATGACAGATCTCCTGAAATAGCTCATGCTGATTTCTGAGCAGAGGAAGACTTAGCCATGATAAAATTACTCCAGGGAGAACGGTCTAGCATGCAGTAGTTGTGATGCACTGTTAAGGACGTGACAAACTAATTTTCTGCAGCAATTGCATACCTATACCATATATATCACCTCCATCCACACACTCCCTCATGGAGAGAGGCAATATGACTACAAGAAACGGCTTTCACAGTATTCCTTTCCCCCTTCTCCAGTATCATTCTTCCCTTCCTCAAAACATCCAGGCTCCAGAGAAGGGTGAGGCAAAAGAAGAAGGCCTTGTCTAGGCTCTCTCTTTAATTGAGATTATCCACCAGGAACTTTCTTCACTTCATACTGGGAGAACTGTAGCAGTTGTGGCAGTGGCTGAAAATTGGCTGGACACCACTAACACAGTTATTGTAATTTGTCATATTTGGTCTGTAAAGAATACGAATGAAGAGTTTCTTGTTTTATTTTCATTATTTTAAAGTACTATTTATCAGATTATGTTTAATGTGTCCTTTTCAAAGTCTGCTATATTTTGATTTTGCTATTCCAGACGCCAAATAGGCCAGGAGCTACATAAGAAACAGCCCAAACCACAGAGTAAATAATGCTGAATATCACTGCATTACTGCTGAGAAATTTCTCAGTCAGCTTAATGATGACATAAGTCTATGGGGTAAACACATCAAGCCATGGTTTGCTTTTGACAGTGAAGCTGGTTGTTATTTGTGATACAAACATTTTTTTTAAACAGTGGTTTGGAGGAGCTGTGAGAAAAATGAGTCTGAAAAATGTATTTGAGTAACTTGTTTTGTGTCTTCAGAAACTTCCAGTTCAAATACAATCAAAAACTCCTTTTTCCCTAATTGTCTTCTCTGCAGTCTGTGCTAGGAAAAAAAAAGATCCTTCTTGTGAGCAAAGCTATTAAAGATTCTGCAATTAGAAGAAAATAACTCTGTACTACTCATTCATGGAGCAGTCCATCTATTCACGAGAGTGAGCTTTAAAGAAGAGGTTCTTAGTCCCTAGAGCCTACAATGTAGGGATTTTAGTCAAGAGTTGTTTTCCATCTTTTTTACATTTGCTTATTATTTTCTGTAATTAGCATTAGAATGTACTCCTTGAAATCCCACCATGGATATGCACAGAATAAGAGAAATCTCATTTTACAGAAGGAGAGAACCCACAGTTGTTACAGCCTTTTGCTCAGTTCATTCTATCTCCATTCCCTGGGAGAAGTGGAAAGATCAGCAATCAGGAAAGGGGCCCTCTCTTCAGAGCAGCTTGGGCACCCCTAGCAAAGCTGATTGTATTGACTGACATTACTTCAGGTTCCTGTAGATCTGCATCATTTGAAAGGTGTTGGAGTATTTTATGCCTGTTTTAAGGGGAGAATGCTCAGCTGTAGATTAATTGCTACAAAGTCTTTCTTTGTGACAGATTTTCTAAGAATGTGCAGGACAAAGGGTAGATATGACTCGCCTCTCAATATGGTATTGATAACTGCATTAAAATATTTGCCTGTTGTCAAAACAAGTTTAGAGCAAAGATCTGTTTTCTGCCATTGTTGTTGTTTTGTTTTTAATATGTAGTCAATATGTTAAATATATTCTAATGTCATTGTTAGTGTCTCTTGCCTTAGCCCAAGGCCCTACGCTCCAGATCTTTATGCCATCAGGTTACTAAGTGTAGACAAGATCAGGTGCTGTGCACAAAAATGCTGAGGTGCTGGACAAGGACTGGGAGAACACTGCAACAGCCCCTTTGACTTTGGGAAGTGATGCTGCCTAAAATGTTCCGAATGTTAAAGCTCAAATTGAATAACGAATAGCATTTGGGCCCTAAAAATTAATTCTAAAAACTCACTGAAATTCTGTTTAACTATGCAAACAGAGAGAAAGTCATAATGACAAGATACTGTACAGCAGTACAGTGGGACTGAAAAAAATCCTGATCAGCAACTCATCTCTGCTGTGGCAATGAAGATGTGATATACACACATAGGCTTATTTCCCAGTTTCTATTTGTCTCTTACAGCATTACTGTTGGCTCTGATGTTAGTAATATTTATCTGCTTGGTTTGTTTTCCTTATTTCCTGAATTGGACAACTGCGTGAATCAAGGACATCACTACAAAACAAGAAAGGAAACTGATGGTGATTGGA